CTTCAAATAAATTTCAAATTCTTATTTCGAACTACGTCCGACTTGATTTCATTTTTAGACACGTAGGCAGTCTAGCAACTACCCTGGGCACAGTCGTAATTTTAAATCACCTTCAATTAAATTCTTAAATTCTGAACTATGTTCGACTTGATTTCCTTTCAGATACGTAGGTAGTCTAGTTAAACTAGGCACAGTTGCAAGTCTAAATTAACTTCAAATAAATTTTAAATTCTTATTTTGAACTACGTCAGACTTGATTCCACTTGTTGGATACGTAGGCAGTCCAGTATCTACATTGGGCACAGTCACACTCCTAAATAAATTCAAAATTCTTTGCATGAACTATGACTGACTTGATTCCCTTTCGGATACGTAGGTAATCTAATCAAACTAAGCGCAGTTACAACTCCTCCACAATCAAGTGGTCCTTAAACCCATATCAATTCAAATGGTCATTTACCCATTTCAAACATAATAGATATTTTATCCATTCAAGATCAATGGGTCATCTACCCGTTTATCTTAGCCCAAAAATAATTTAATCTCCTTGAACTACAAATCAACTTGATCCTGATAACAGGTACGTAGAGTAGCCTAGGTAGTTAACCTAGGTCCAGCCACCATCACAAATAAAATGCCCTTGTGATGTAAATGATAACGTGTGATAATTTCTTGTTAGAATCAAATGGTGTTCTCTTGAAGTAAGAGATTATAATTAATGGATATATATTATCTGGAATGGGTCTAATCTACATTTAATAAAACTCATATAATTTTTTGTTATATGAGTGAAGTCATGTTGGACAAAATATTCAATTTTTTTCCCAACAGGAGTGAGGGGCGACGCCTCCTTGGGCGAGCATAAACTGTATGATCTGCTGATTTTGATTCACCAGCAGTTACATGGTTTGTAAAAAATGTTGTCCGATGATAGGGGTCGTCGTAGTGGACAATTCCGAGGGTGCGAGGGGGACAGAGCCTCCTCCCAGTGGGCCTGGTTGTTGTCTCCCGGTTGCTGACTCATCGATCTAGTCATAATTACCATGGATTGAGAAAGAGAGAGAAAGTGAGAAAACTTAGTCATTTTTCATAGACGGTGCCAAACTGATAATGCACAAATTGGTATTGCACAAGATCAACAACCAAGTATATGAATGAGTGTAATTAATAAGCAATCACTAGCAAAGCAATAAATATTGAGGCAACACAAAGATTTATAGTTATTCGGTCTGGGTGACCTACTCCATTCTCGAGAATGGCAGCGGTGGCCATAGATCTTTATTGATGAATAATATAGTTGGGAGAGTGTACTTCAGATGAATTACAACGCCTTGGGAGCGAGGACCAATGTGTGTAGAGAGGTATAGTGTGTGTAGAGATCTCAAGGTTGTAGAGATCTCAAAGTCGTAAGGTCATGCCCTATATGTGGAGAGAGCTTATATTATATGGTATGGTGAAGCAGTGACGTAAGTGAAAGGGCTGTTACTATTTTGGTAAGTACAATTAATGTAGGATTAGATCTCCATGCGTATCCCAATATTCTTTCCCTCGTGCTCCTATTCCGTCGGAGGACAATCTTGAGCTAGATTGGACTTGAGTTAGAGTGAGCAGGGTTGGACTTGAGTTGGAGTGGCAAAGTAAGGAGGGATACCATAGAGGCGGTGCAGAGGAGGGGGAGCGTGGAACAAAGGACAGCAGGGGTCCCCTTGGGCGGCGCCCCTTTGGGGTGGCCTCCTTCGGGCGCTGATGTCTTGACCTTCCTTTGGGCTTAGCCCGAATGATTTGGACCCCTTGTTTTATTGGGCCTAATCCAGTTGACTTTGAGCTCATCAAAAGATACCAACATTGTCATGGAAAAACACCATGCCCCTCTGCAGACAAAAGTTTTGATAAATTCGTATGTGGGGTTTCATACATTAGCTCATCTTCTTCTTTTTTAATCTAACTTTAATCCACATTAAAACAACATAGTCTTATACCCAAATACTTCTCACATAGACACATTCACTGAAACACATGAAGGTGACCGTGGATAATCCATGAAACACCCACCTAGACTAATGGACCGTCTCTTTTACATTGAAGTTGACCAGCCCGGCTCATTAACTAGTAAAGTCTGGCCCAATCCTATCCTGGGTCATTTCCAACCTAACCCGAGATTCTTCTTTTTTTGGATAAGAATGGAGAAGACTAATTAGTACACAGCGATTTTCCTTGAGCATAACCACAAGGGATTCTACAGAAGAATATCTGATTTGAGTCATAGTTATTAATTCAAAATGATGATCCGTCACCATGCCATTAAAGACAAGTAGAAAATTACGTTTCTTTCATGGATCAAATCATATTTATTTATCATTATCCCATTAATTCTGAAACTCTTCTGTTGGTTAGGTTTAGAAGACTTTGGATAGAAAAATATTATTTGAAATTTATTTGGGGATATAATTCAATAATATAATTTAATACAGCTATTGAATCGATGGTGAGCTCTATTTATCATTAAAAGTCATAATTAATTCAATAATTACGTTAAAACTACATCTTTAAATTCTTAAATTAAATCTCCAAATTACATCTGTATGATTGCTCCTTTGGTAGGGATCAGGTGATTGAGAAACAGCACCAAAACATATCTCTCGTGGGCCCCATTTTCCTGACTTGGTCTATGAATACAAGTGGGTTTGTTCCGAATCAATCTCAGCCATTTGATCTAAATCTAACGGTTGTCAAGACGCGTCTACCTAAGTCATTTGGAATCTATGCGACACCCACTCTCTCTCTCTCTCTCTCTCTCTCTCTGTGTCTCCCCTCTCGCTGCTTCTGCTGTCTCGCCGGTGGACAACAGAATAAATAAACCCTAGAATCCCAAAACACCGTCGTTTCAAGCCCTCCTTCCCGAAAACGCAAACCCAGTTGCTTTAAACCCTGAACGCTCTATTGGGTGATTATCTCTCTCTGTCTCTCCCTATCTCTCTCTCCCACACACACACACACACTTAGTTACACGTATTTATGTATGTATCTATGTATGCAGCGTGTTACATGTTTGTGTTTCTGTCTGTGTTATTCTGTTTCAGTGGTTAAGCTGAAATTCTTGGTAGGTATGAGGTTTGCCACAGGGGTGATGCTTAAGAGTGTAGGCAATAAGTGTAATTGGGGTTGTTATGAATTTTTTTTTTTTTGGTCATGGGTTGTTATGAATTGACTCTCTGAAATTCATGCAATTTCTTATTATTAAGTGATTAAGCAAAAGCTTATGTGTGGGTATGTATATATTTATATATGTATATTTGGTATAAATTGTTGAAAAATAGTTTTCTTGTCTTAAAAATTGTAAAAAATTAAGGAGGATAAGAAAGCATGTTGTTTGATTGAATTATAACCGTTAACAGATTTAGCCGAACCCTAATAGGGGGAACCAGGTTTTGTAGAGCTGAACTTACTTCCCTATATTTGTCTTAGTTGCGGTGGAATTCATTTCATATCAAATACCCTGCATTTTATCTTTTTAACATTTTCCTTAGTTGTCTTGGTTTAGAAGTGGTGGGAAACAGGGAAGGGGAATATCAATAAGAAATTTTGTATTATATCTCTGACTATTGGGTACAAAATACAGCCAAAGTGCCAGACTTTTCACATTATGAGTTGAAGAAATTAAATAGAAGATAAAGATAATTTTCGGTCCTTATAGTTTCCATTCATATCTCAGCAAAATAATTGACAGAATGTTATGCTGTGTGTGATTATCTTGAAGGAAATGTAAAACTAGATGTTTACTTTATTTGCTAAATTGTGATAGCGATCAAGTGGAGCATTTCACTTTGCTCTCCAAATGCGGACAATTCTTCATATGGTCTAATGATCAGTGATAGAGTAACTCATCAAAAAAGGAAGAAGAAAAGAAGTTCTTGATACTTAAACAGTTGAAACTTTATGCAGACTGCAAGTATTAATTCTTCAACAAGATGCATGGGATGCCTACATAGATGGTGCTATGATTGATATATGCATAAAATAGCATTTAAAAGTAGTATGGATGTTGAAGTGATTGATGTGGAAGAGGGGAACATGGGCCAACGGGACCTCACAGATGATGGAGATGATGACTTCAATGAGGGTGGAGAAGTGAACACCTTTGGAGACTCAACTGCTCAGGATGAGGATGGGGATGTCGAGCCCCATGTAGGTATGGAATTTGATTCTGAAGATGCTGCTAAGACTTTCTATGATGAGTATGCCAGGCATGTGGGTTTTAGCACCCGCGTTGGCCAGAATAGCCGGTCCAGGAGTGATAGGACTGTTACTACACGGGAGTTTGGATGTGCCAGAGATGGCTTAAAAAGAAGAGCTGGTGATAGCTGCAATGCAATACTAAGAATAGAATTAAAGGATAAAGATAAATGGGTGGTGACGAAATTCGTGAAAGAGCATAGTCACTCCACAGTGAGTCCGAGTAAGGTGCATTACCTCCGACCGCGCCGGCATTTTAGTGGTGCGACAAAGAACATTGCTGAAGCTTATGAAGGGGTTGGAATTGTTCCAAGTGGTGTTATGTATGTGTCAATGGATGGAAATGGTGTGCCTCTGGAAACAAATCGTGTATCTAGAAGTGGTCCTCTTGTAGATTCAACTCGTGCAGTCAGGAACACAGGGTCTGTGAGTTATGCTGTTAGACATGCTAGTCAAAAAAGGACATTAGGGAAGGATGCTCAAAATCTGCTGGATTATTTCAAGAAAATGCAGGCTGAGAACCCAGGGTTCTACTATGCTATACAACTTGATGACGATAATCGCATGGCTAATGTATTTTGGGCAGATGCAAGGTCTAGAAGTGCCTACAGTCACTTTGATGATGCCGTTACGCTCGATACTATGTACAGGGTTAACAAGTATAGAGTGCCATTTGCTCCTTTCACAGGGGTGAACCATCATGGTCAGACAGTTCTGTTTGGTTGTGCATTACTTCTAGATGAATCTGAGGCAACGTTTGTCTGGCTGTTCAAGACTTTTCTCACTGCAATGAATGATCATGCCCCTGTCTCTATTATAACTGATCAGGACAAAGCCATACAATCAGCCGTTTCTCAGGTATTTCCTGAGGCCCGCCACTGTATTAACAAGTGGCATGTATTAAGAGAAGGCCAGGAACGGTTGGCTCATGTATGTCATGCACATCCTAATTTTCAGGTGGAGCTCTATAACTGTATCAACATGACTGAGACAATTGAGGAATTTGAACTAGCTTGGGATTCTATCCTAGAAAAATATGATCTCAGGAGGAATGATTGGCTTCAGTCATTATACAATGCACGCGGACAATGGGTCCCAGTGTATTTTCGGGATTCTTTCTTTGGTGCAATTTCTCCAAATCAACGAAATGAGAGCTCTTTTTTTGATGGTTATGTAAATCAACAGACTACCTTACCGATGTTCTTTAGGCAGTATGAAAGAGCTTTAGAAAATTCGATTGAAAAGGAAATAGAAGCAGATTTTGATACACTTTGCACCACACCAGTATTGAGGACACCATCACCAATGGAAAAGCAGGCAGCGAACCTATACACAAAGAAAATTTTTTCAAAATTTCAGGAAGAGTTGGTTGAGACATTCGTGTATACAGCAAACAGAATTGATGGTGATGGGGCAATTAGCACATACAGAGTTGCAAAGTTTGAGGATGATAGAAAAGCCTACATCGTGTCTCTAAACATTCAGGATATGAGAGCAAATTGTAGCTGCCAGATGTTTGAGTACTCGGGCATCCTCTGCAGACATATTTTGACAGTTTTTACCGTGACAAATGTACTTACTCTGCCATCTCATTACATCGTGAAGCGGTGGACAAGGAATGCAAAAAGTGGGGTTGGACTAGATGAACATGGTGAACTACATGGCCAAGAGGTGCTGACCGTGCGGTACAACAATCTATGTCGGGAAGCCATCAGATATGCTGAGGAAGGGGCTGTAGCTCCAGAGACATACAATGTGGCAATGGTTGCTCTTAGAGAAGGGGGCAAGAAGGTGGCTGTTGTGAAGAAAAATGTTGCAAAAGTTGCACCCCCCAGCTCACAGGTTAGTGGGGTTGGTTACGAAGATCGGAGGACCTCTACTTCAGTGCCAGATATGACCCCTCCTCTGTTGTGGCCACGACAAGATGAAATGACCCGACGTTTTAATCTCAATGATGCTGGCGTCCCTGCACAACCTGTTGCAGATTTGAATCTTCCACGCATGGCCCCCGTGTCTCTTCACCGTGATGATGGCCACCCTGATAACATGGTAAGAAATTTTGTTTTGAATCCTTTGGTGTAAATATCATTTATTTATAGTATGGCGGAAGTTAATTTTGGCTCTATTCTCTCTTTTTCCCTCACAAATAGGTGATTCTTCCTTGTCTCAAGTCAATGACCTGGGTGATGGAGAACAAGAATTCGACACCTGCCAACCGAGTAGCTGTAATCAACTTGAAGGTACGCTTTGCAGATCTTCATGTAAACAGTGACAACATTGAAAACAATATTTAAAGACAAAATCTGTTATTGCTCTTGTCACCAAGGATCAAAATATCGTTTCGAAATGGTCAAAACATCCGAAACGTTTCCATTTTCAAGGAGACCGAAACGAATCAGTGGTGGAATAGAAATTCTAATACTTAGAAGTGTTCCATAATGTTTCAAAATGTTTTGTTATATTTCAATATATTTGCATAATTATTTCGGAATATTTCAAGATATTTTGGTATATTTTGACCAATGTATTGAAAAAATAATTCTTAAATTTTTAATTTTTTTTCTTTATGTTTTAAAACGGGTCGAAACATTTTCGAAACACGTCAAAATGTTTCCGTTTCCTAAGTGACTGAAACAATACACCAAAATGAAATTTTAGTCCTTGCTTATCACTAAATTATGGAATAGGCTTTTGAAGATTGTAGGAATCCCTTGCGTGTGTCCAAAAGGCTGTGACTTGGTGTTCTCCAATGGGTACGGTGGTTTTGATTATACCAATAAAGCCAAGATCTTATGGAAATGTGTGGCGTTGACTTTATTTTAGGTGGCGTGGTTGAAAAGAAATTGGAGAAATTTTTGAGGATAAGGAGTCTCTTTGGGAAGTCTTATGGGATAAAAAATCATTCGTAGCTTCTCTTTGGGTTTCACTGGCAAAGGATTTTGAAGGAATGCCATTGCTATGGATTAAAGATCATTGGGCACAAGTGTGTGAAGAGTGTTGATACATGACGGCACTTTTTCATTGCTATTTATCTTTTAGAATGTTGCCAAGTTTTAAACTTTTTCTTTCAAGTTTTCTTTTCCCTTTGTTTGTTGTATGTTTCAGAGGACTCCTTGTTCTCACATGTATTTCTCGCATTTGGCATTTGGTAATTGTAATACAAGTCGTGTATTATCAAAAAAAAATCTGTTAATTCTCATTATGATCAGTCGTCTTATTTTATTGCCATATGAATTTCAAGTTTGATATTCAATCATAGACAGGATAGGCCAAATACTTGCTGTTTAGATTCTCAGGGGTGCATTCGACCATTGAGCAAAAGCCTTATGTTTGATATTTTCTGCTTGCAGTTACAAGATTATAGCAGGACACCATCGGGAGAATCTGAGGTTAAGTTTCAGCTGTCAAGGGTCACATTAGAGCCCATGTTGAGGTCAATGGCCTACATCAGTGAGCAGCTTTCTACCCCAGCCAATAAGGTTGCTGTTATCAATCTAAAGGTTTGTAATCCTGAAATGTAATTTGTAATATCATAAGACAAAACTATGTTGATTTTGTTATTCATTTTATTGCTTGGGATTGATAAGCTATTTATGATGCATTACTACCTCATTTCCTGTTCTGATTGATCTGATTTCCTATGGCCTTAAATATGTTGTCCAAAAATTCAGGTTTTGTCATTATGGTATCTTCTGTTTTGTGATTGTGTTGGACTGAAAAAAAAAGGTAAGAAATAAGAAATCATATGGATCCTGATATATAGTTAAGTGCTTGCTATTTTTGTTGTCTATGCTTGTGGCCAGAGACGGAACTACAACAGGGCCTACCCACTTCTCATAACCCCTGTATAGAAATAATAGCTAGAGAATGAAGTCTAATGATATATTGTGTTGGCCCCCCACAAAGACTATTTCTATAAAGCTTCCAGATTAGTGTTATTTTAATCAGGTTAGAATTCTAAACAAGCAATTAATAGCAATTATAACCTAAATCTCGGTCATCAAGACCAAAAAATATTAACTTTCTTAATATATCTAAATTCCAATGAAGCAACTTAAGAGTCCTAACTTAATTAGAAAACAAAACCTTCTAAAACACAAAAAGAACTTTGTACACCAAGAAGGCCAGAACTATAGACATGAAAAGAGTTTAGAAATGTCACCTATTAGCTGCAAAATTGACGAAGAAAAGTACAGGAAAAGAAGACAATTTTTTCATTGATCGATTAACAGGTTTTTTTTTTAACATAATCAATTAACAGGTTAGTGGTCTATATTTTTAATACGAATAATATATATAAAATTTAAAATGTTGGAAAAGTGTGTTATTTATTTCTTTGTTCATTTTATTTAGAATAAGCAATGATAAATGTTTGATTATTGTCACTAGTTGGGAACATTAAATCTATAATATTTTTTCTATTTCTTATAGTTATTGAACTTCATGAAATTATTCTATGTAATACTAAACTATTCTTTTCGTTCATTTTATTTTTTTGTCGTATCTTTGTTTGTATTGATTTCTTGACATATTTTTATACATTAGAAATTTGAAAATCAAATTATAAATATGGTTCACGTTGTTAATATAAGTTTCTATGCATGGGGTTTGCTCCCCCCCCAAAAAAAAAAAAAGTGATGAAATCCTGGTTTCATCCCTGCTTGTGGCTAAAATTATGTGTATTGGGAAAACACCTGATTTTCTCTTTACGTTGACAATTCTCTTATATGCGTATCTCAATTGTTATAGTTTGACACATGGATATTCTTGCATCCTCTTATTCCTCTGCATTCATGACACATGGGGTCTTATAGACATGTTGTTATATGAATTATGCATTTGATGTGGGCATTCTTCTCTTATATCCTTTCAGCTCCAAGATACGGAAACAACTTCAGGGGAATCAGAGGTGAAATTTCAGGTGTCAAGGGATACGTTAGGGGCCATGTTGAGGTCAATGGCTTATATTCGTGAGCAGCTCTCTAATGGGGTAAGCATTCTCTACCTACTTGTATAGAAATAATTTGATCTACACAATGCACAGAAACCTATACCTCTCTTTCATATGCTTTTCTGAAGTCTGTTTTAAAAATGACCCCTCCTAGTCCTTGACCTTCGTCCTATATTCCTCTACACTCCGTTTGCCAACAAAGCACTATCCAATATTTCTTGTCCCTTTACAAAAGTAGTCTGATTTCCCTCCTTCAACCTAATGTACAAAACTTTAATTAAAATCCTGTACAGGCCTGTTTGCCAAAAATCACTAATATTCATAGAATCATGCTTTTTGTATGTCAGAAAAATACAAGTCGTACTAATAATCACACTAGCCACTCCATTCTTAGAAACCTCTGCAAAAACTTCCATTAAACCATCCTTTACCACTTCGCAACATTCTTGAAACAAAGCCATCGGGAATCCATACGAGGCATGGGATATATCTCTGCTACACTCAAAATTTACGTGTCTCCCCTTCTAAAAATGTCTTTCCAACCACCTAGCTTGTGATCACAAATAGGACTCTGCTCTATTTTTAATAACCTTGGCCCTCACACCCTCTTTCCAATTTCCAATTTATTCATTAGATTCTCCTTCCTTCTCCCATTTGCCACTCCATGAAAGAACTTAGGATTGTGGTCCTCTTATTTCACCCATCACACTTTAGCATTTCACATCCAAGACATCTCCTCTTCGAACACCACATCCTTAAACTACTGCCCTTTAATTTGTCCATAAAATCGGTATTAACTCTCGGCCCACTAGTCTTTCTCACCCCTACTTTTCCATGAAAATTCTGCAAAACCCGTTACTACTAGCACAAGAAACCTTCAACCCTAATTTACCAGTCTTCAACCTACCACCTGGTTCATGAAAACTTTGTGCACTCTGCAACACCATTCCTCTCCTAGTGCTGTGCCCTTCAACTCAAATCCTGGAAAGCACCCCAACTTTGATCTGATACCGTTTGCATTGGAGTACCACATCAAGGGATACTGGTATGAATCAAGAGTCTCTGATCCTTAATTTTAGTCATAAACAAATTTTCCAGGTTAAGCGAACTGGGATAAGCTTCAACAAAGCCACCACAGTAGTCTGTTTCCATAAATGATAATGTAATCCTTCTATGCCAATCCAACCCCCAAGGAAGAATACTTTGTTTCGACCGAGTTAGTCTTAGGCATCCATTTCTGAAAATTGACTGGAAACGGGCCCTCCAGCAAACACTTCTCCCAGTTCTGCTTTTTCAGGGCCTCCACAGAACATATGACTTTATCGGGAGCAGCTTCACTTCGAACTTCAACATCCTAGCTTGAGCACAGTTAATCCTACTCCCAGGGGTGAAAACACTCTCTCTAATGCATACCACAGCACAATTCCATCTCCCGGCAGCAATTAGCTCTTCTTCATTGGAAACTCCATTAGAAGAAAACTCAGCTCCTCCCAATAGTCATTTTATGATAGTTGCAGCAATATCAATCCACCTTTTACCCTCCACTTCTGTAGGGATGATCAAACCCTTTCGTTCACTATTGTCTGGCAGCTTTGAAATTTTGATGAAAGCACACCTTCCATTATCAACAAGTTCAAACCACAAACTGTATTCCTCACTCCTAAATTTTCTCAAAATATACATTTGTTCAAATCCCAAACGCCCCATGTGATAACAATCTTAAGCTAGATAGCACATTTACAATACACATCGAGAGAGAAAACTTTGGGGCGATTAGTTTTAGTTAAAACGAATTAGCTGTCTACACATCTTGAAAAACTTGCTCAATCTGTACCTCAGCTATTGTTATACTACTTAGTTTCAACCCTTAGGCTTTCCAAACCAATTCGAAGGCTCAAATGTAGAAATACGCGTCAGCCTTTCATCATCCCGCATAAGTATGATGACCTATGATTGTATAAGAAGATTCTTAACAAGGAGGATTTTTTTTTGGCAGGCTGAGTCTCTATCAGAAACCCCGTCAAAAAAGCAACGGAAGTAGATGCAATGTTCTTTCTGTTTTATTAGCAGGTGTGTGATTCTCTCACCTTCGTGGATGGTATTGGTTATCTCATCAAAACTGTGCCACCACTTTCGAGTTTGGGATGGTTTGGGTTGTTCCTCTTTAGAGTAGGGTAGCTTCTGTTGCATTTCCATGTAAGCTTGCTCTTCTGCATATTTATACATGTAAAGTTACCAAGCCAGAATTCTGTTCTCGGGTGTGATATGGTTTTCACTGTACAATGCCTCAGAGTAGATGAGGCTGTTGTGTATGCGTTTTCTAGGTTCTCTTTCTTTCCACATGATAAAATCAACAAAATACATGATGATTTCTCTCAGAGACAAGCTGCTCTAATTATTTAGCCTTTTCATCATCTCTAACCATCGGAAGAAGAAGTATTGATGCTCACCACAGCATCATCCTTGAGTTTTTTGGAATGCACAGGAATTATGGATGGCAAAAAAATTTCCATTGCCTACATCAGTATGAGTTTGCTGCTCTTTTTTTCTCTTTTTTTTTTTTTCAGGTCGTTGCAGCTGTAATAATTTTACTTTTGTTTGTATACAGGATCAATCTAGTTGTGGCTGGTTATAGCAATTTCTTTGTTTTGTGGCGTCTTTTGTTCTAATGGTAATGCTTCAACTCTCTCATTCAGTTATAAATGCAACAGGAAAATGAAATGGAATGACAGTACTCGTTGGATCATCATGTAATATACCACCTTTCTTTCCTGTTATGGTATTTATTTGGTATTCTTTGGCCTGGATGGATGTGCGTGTTGCCTATGTGATTATCCCAGGAGACATCAAGTGCGAAGCCTACTCAACAGGTAGCAGCTTCAAAAGATAACCTAGCTTCGAAGGTGATTAACAATTTAGGAATCATTCGAGGCTGCAGTGACGGTAATGAGGTGGCAATGGTAGCGTCGACAGCACGGTGAAGGTGGTGGGTGGAGTGACGATGGTTCAAATATAACATCTATAATATAAAACAGGTTAGGTTTTAATAAATCTACCTAATGATTTCAAATAGACTAATCTAGCAGTCATTAACATCTTTCTCAAAATTAGAGGTGTCAATCGTGTCTTGTTCATGCGACCTGCGTGTCATGTGTGTCAAGATTTACAAAAATATATATATATATATATATATTTAATGTTTTTTGAGTATTAAATATTAGTTTATATTATTTATTGAGTGTATTTAATAATCGTATCAATTTTATAATCGTTTATATCGGATTTGTATCAATGAGTAAGAACTGACACCCTTACTCAAAATTATTTACATGATACCGTATCTTCAAGTACAAGTTACTCCTAATACGTAATAAGTTTAGTTGTTAAACCTGACATTTGACTCACATTAACCCGTTTAAATAACTTTCTTGATGTTAAATTACGCGTTTGGAACTCAAAAATATAATAGATGCACAAACTGCAAATTTGGGGATTCAATGATGAGAGGTAAGAGGTGGTAAATGAGCGGGTTAAGTTGGTTATGTGCTAGTTCAAAATGTGTTGAGTGTAAAATAAATTAAGTGAAATTTGAGGGTGACTCTCCCTAAGTGTACTTTTAATGACTTGAGTTTTAAAAGAAAATTTATTTGGAAGGTATGTTCATATTTAAACTTATTTATAGGTACTTAAATACATTTATTTTTAAATCTCAAAATTACCTTTAACGGTGTTAGTTTTGTCCAGTTATAGAAAGTCACATAGGTTACATCATTGAGATATATATGAAACCATTGATTGAGTTATATATGAAAACTGTTTATGAAATATTATGATAAATGATAGAAGTTATATATTCTAATAACTATATATGAAAAGCTTAATGTACGAATAAATTATTAGTCTATTAAATCAAAATCAAATAACAAAATTTTCTTAATAACAGTAATGCATAATATAGAGAGGGTAAACAATGCCAACAGAGATTCAATAACATGATTGTTAATATAGTAACATTCATGTTACTATATAATTAAAATTATAATTAGGGTTGTGTTATTAGTACAATTGTGTTATTATACTGACACTAAGTTATTATAGTGAATTTTAACATAAAATTGTAAATTTTGAGATGTATATTATGTAACATACACTTTAATATTCATAATAACATCAAAGTTTTGTGCTCAGTAATACATCTAATTTTACAAAATATAAGACAATAGTTTTTTTTACAGTAACATCAACTTTTGAATGATTTTAGTGAACATACGATTCATAAATTGAAAATTTACAAAATGACAACTAATAACAAACAATCGACAATTGAATTACAACACTCAACACTAATTGTGAATATCAAGACATTGAAATTTTGAATTTCATTTTTCAGTTCACATACAGTAACATGAACTTTTTTCACAGTAACACAACCAAAGAATACTTGATTGTCTTGCGCAACAAAAAAATTAGCAAATCGAAATCTATTACACTTTAATTTAGGACTAGTTCTCTTGAATCTTAATTATCAGGTTAATACCCACTTTGACATAATTAAATTTCTAATTACTATTACTTTTTTACCATGTTACTATGTTTTTAGTGACCATGTTACTGTCTTTGATGAGTATATTATTATTGTTATTTTTAAAATATTAATATTTTGTCGATGGAATCCAAAGTAAACAGAAATAGTAAATTGAAATTGTAATTTATGAAATGTAATAGATTTGAAATTTAAATATAAACGATTTTTGGTAAATACCGATTTTTTGTTTTTCGATAAGGAAAATTGTGGCTTGGAAGATTGTAATCGGATTTGAAAGCAATTCTGAAGGAGATATATATGACTAGTTATTGTGTCCATAAACATTGTTTATAACATTTCTACAAAAAAGGGTTACAATAGTAAAATTAACAAAAAACAAACTTAAAATCAAATAAATTTTCTTAACAGACTTATATTCTAATAAGTCCATATAAGAAGACCAGCTTCTAAATTTTCCATAAATTAATCTATTTTTAACCTGTTTAATAAACCGGTTATAATATGTTAGATTACAATAAGTTGGATTAAATTTATTATTAACTCATAAAATAATTAAAACTCTTAATATAAATACACATTAATACACCAAATAAAACACATAATAATACACACATTAATACATTATTGGGTAAATTACATTGACCTCACTTGAGGTTTAGTCAAAGAACAATGAGACCCCCTCATATATGGGAAATAACACTAACCTCCCCTTTGCTTTTGTTGTCCGTTACAAATTCCCCAAATTGTTAGTGGATTGTTAAGACGGCGTCAAAAGCTTGCCGATATAAGCAACTTATTTTTCAAAAATACCAATACTACCCTTATTCAAGTTACATTTATCTTGCATTAGTAACCAAACAAATCATATCCACAATATTTGATAGCTTAAACATGCTTCCAAACAAATCAGCTCCTTTGACCCGACCACACCACAAATAACCCACTTTCCACCTGACCTTCTCTTTCTCTCTCATGGATTCATTGAGACAACCCTTGATCCATCTGTTCCACATCACTCCAATACAAAATAGGCACCACCACAATAGCTACAGCGACACATCCATCACCGGAGTACATCACGATATTTTGGGGGTGTTTTATACTTCAAATTGGTTTTATGGCAGAAATGGGTTATGGTTATGAAGGAGTTCATGAGTTTTTGGTTGGTGGGCTGAGGGGAAAAGGGAGGGAGATGGTGGTGGGTTTCATTATATGTTATTGGGAGGCAAGGGTGGCCTGGTGGTGTAGTGTGTGCGTTTGTGACAAGAGTGGTGGGGGTGTTCCTTGTCGAATAAACATGATGGCGCTGGGGAGACATATATATATATAGAGAGAGAGAGAGAGAATTTTTCCACGCAGATTGGTATACACCAGTATGCATTTGTGTGTAGTAGATTAGATAGGGAGGAGAAATTGGTTTTTGAGATGCGATTAATGAAAGCTGGGAAGGAGAAGGGGTGGGCAAGTGTATGCCAGAAAATGGAGAAGACGACTTTTGAGTGAAAGAGATGGAAGGGTAGTATAGTCTTTTATTGATTTTTGTTACACACATGAGACAGACGTTACTGACAGGGGAGGTTAGTGTTATGTTTCATACATGACGGGGTCTCATTGTTATTTAATCAAACCTCAGGGAGGTGGATGTAATTTACCCTACATTAAATCACACACTAATATACTAGGGTTGGACGCGGGTATACTAGTGTGTGTGTGCGCTTTTTTTTGTTGTGTATTGGTATATATGTGTGTATGTTTAAGTGTATTAATGTGTTGGTGTGTGTGTTTTGTTGTGTATTAGTATATATGTGTGTATTTTTGAGTGTATTAATGTGTGTGTTATGGTGTACTAGTGTGTGTATTATTAGTGTGTATTTAATTTGATTGCTTTTGTTATTCAATACAAAGATAAATGTTCAATCCAATGGGTTCCCATTTATAATTCATCTTAACCCGCTTAATTAAAATGAGTCCTATTACGCAACCCTTTTAGAATTCACATTAATTATCTAACCCATTTATTTCTATAAAAATTAGAGTTGAATCCTCTTTAAAGAACTTATAACGAGTTTAGTTCGTCGAGAAAACTTATTTGAAAATAAGTCTATTTTTAATTTTATTAATAAGTAGTTAAGTCCACTATTTTTTTTAAAATTCTAAAATATCCTTCTATAAGAGCAATGTTAGAGAAGGTAATCCAACAGTTCTGAGGAAGAAGGCAGCGACAACTATTGCTTGAGGTGCTGCAAGCTCTATCTGTATTTGGGATGTAATTTTGAGACTACTTTATGATATTTTCATTTGCAATTTATTGTTTTCCAATATTAGAACAAGTAGATTTTAGAATATTATGAGGGTTTTCACCCATTTTTATTATTTGAGTGATGTCTTTAACATTGTTTGATCGTTAGTTGATTTGAGATTTGGGAATGACTGGATTAGACCATTAACAATCAAAATTTTTATTTTCTTCTTTAAAAAAATAGAGCAAAAAAATAGATGAATAAAATATACCTAATTTATGATAGTAGTGTTTACTACAGATAAACCCATATAAACTCGTTGAAGTAAATTATTTATTTTTGGTTTAAATGTTACTATTTTTGTTTTTGAATGTTACTATTTTTTATTTTTTTAAAATTTTTTTTGTTTGTTATTAAATGTTATTATTTTTTAAATATAAATATATATATATATATATATATATTATATATATATATATATATATATTTGGAAAGAGAAAGAGGAAAGGAGAAGAGAACTTGAACCCTTAACCTTAAAAAAAAAAACCTTTAAAAAATAAGAAATATCATTAAACCAAAAGCCATTGATTTTTTAAAATATTTTTGTTTTCAATTTTGAATATTACTATTTTTTTTGTCTTTAAATATCCCACATGTTTTTTTTTTACCATGTTACTGTTTTTGTTAAACATATTACTGCTGTTATTTTTTTATTTTTGAATATTACTATTTTTTTGTATTTAAATTTTATTATTTTTTTTAATATTACTATGTGTGTGTATATATATACTAGAGATAACATGTGCCTGCAGGCACGGTACAACGTAAACCAACCAGTTAATTCCTCAAAAAATTTAATTTAATTTGCTTTAAGTTAAGCAATTGAAATTAATATAATCCCCAAATATTATTTGGAGACTATTTCGATAGAGTTTATTCTAAAAATAAGAACCCAAAAAAATCTCAACCTATCTACAAAAATCAGAGTCTCTTAAATGCACAATACAATCAAATCAAAACTAAAAATTCAACTTGGTTTGTTTGAAAATAAAAGGCCATGAAATACTAACCTATATACAGAACTAAAAAACAAATAAAACAATCCCTTAATATCAACAATTCATACTCAACCACCAAAACAATCAACAATTTCACAACAAACCAAACATATCCTTGTAATCATAAAATTAGCTCACCATGCTAAACTCACAAGTAAACAAAATATCACCCAAATTTGATTAAGTTATTATAGTAATTGTCCTTGCATAAAAATACTAAATAACAAAAAATTGAATTAGAACTTGAAAAATATTATTGTGCCTAAAGACACTTTACAAGCTAAAAAAAATGGTTAATTTGAAATAATTTTTTCAACATTTGCTTTAATTAAATAGATTGAAATCAATCAAACCCCCACTAATTTTTCAAAAATTTTGACAACTTATAAAAATAAGAGCTCAAGAAAATTTCAACTTGTCTATAAAACTTACAATCATACAAAACAATAATAATAATTCCCCGTACCACCACAATTCACATCAAAATCAAACATATCCTCATAACCATGTATAATTAGTTTATCATACTAAGAACAGAACAAATAAAACACACACAAATCCACATAGTTGTACTTAAACATAAATAAAATTAAATAATAAACAAAAAGCATAATTATATATAGTACATTTGTAAAATGGGTCATTCTTTAATATAATTTATCAAAATAAATCATTTATCTGCACGTCATTATAAAAATAATTTCTCCATTACAGCCTTGAATGTCATATCAATTTAAATCCGCAGCTTCCAACTGGAGAAATGTACAACAATCTAGCATTTTCAAAAACAATTAAATTTAGTACATAACAAAAATTTTAAAATTATAAACTTGAAAATCAAAAATAAACTATAAAAAATAAATTTAGTTATTTTATTCAAACAACCCCATCGAAAAAAATGGGCTGCATTTAGTCTTTTTAACTCTTGCGCTGCTTCATCCCAATTCTATACATGAAATAACATAAATAAAATGTTTGATCAACAAAATAACATTGTTAAAATGTTTGCAATGTAATATCACTTGGCACGAAATACTTACCTTTCCCTTGTCAAAAGAGGTTGTTATTCCATTTCATTTACACTTTGCATTACAACTATTCTTTCTTTTGCCTTTTAGATAGTAAGTATAGATAAGTAAAATCATTATATAAAAAAAAAAAAAAAAAATCTAATCTATAAACAAACTGATGTGTCATGATACTACTTCAGAAATGAGAATGCAATTGAATTTGTGTTCGTCACGAATCACACCACCAACATTATTTTTCTTCAACAATTGAACGTATACATGAATATACATTTAACAGATAAATAAACACAAACTATATGAGAAAAAATTATTAAGAATATGAGTGAAATGAAACTCATTTTATGGTTTGCTCTAAGTCGTCGTCAATCTGTGAAAAAATGCGTGAAAAAAACGTGAAATAAATATGTGCATATTTTGCGGTGCCGAAAAAAAAATAGAAGATATTTAAACTCACACGATCAAAAATGGTGAGATCTTTCATTTTTCAATGTTGTGAGTTTGCAGTAGTGGTTAGTACACTGATGGCTACAAATATAAGAAACAGAGTATATCAAAAATTAAAAATATTCGTTAAATACACATTCATTTTGTTGTAAAATGACTAAAAACACATCATAGCTTCTATTTCATACTACTTGTTTTACAATACCGGAGCACAATAATTTGCCACCAAACTATAAGAGTTTTAAAAGTTTCTCGAATTAATGTAACCATCAACCACAAAACTAAACCAAAATCCACGCACAAATATTATATTCAACTTCAAGCAAATTCAATCCTTATTATCGCCCAAATCAAACCACCATGAATAGATTCCAAACCAAATTCAAATAAACCCGCATATTCGTTCTCATCTATTATTGAAACTATGTAGAATTTAATAATAAAGGTCATGCTTCAAAAAATATCTAAGCCTTTTAAGAGTCCTTGTTAAGCACATGGAGAACCATGTGAATCCTTGAAATACCATTACCAGCCAAACATGCAGAGTATTCCACATTTTTGAGTAATTTTTTCACAAAAAGGAAACAAAATAAAATAACAGAGAACCCAAATTGCTGTCACCCCACTAAGAACTACTACAGATATTTTTTTGTTCCTCCACAAAAATACATTAGTAGCTACTCTATAATGATCACACCAATTCTATTTTATACAAGTAAAATCAAAACTTGTGCATTTGACAGGAAATTACTAAAAAGAATATTCAATCTTTTTAAATTTATTTCATTGTTTACCGATCACATCTATAATATATTAGATTATAACTTAACTCAACTAATAGAAAATAGTTCTTAACAATTAACCAAGTAGATCATCCTTTCAACGGTCATAAGTACAAAACTATCAAATTCACGATCCAATTAATTTATGTTCATTTTTACCTTCTCCCGAACATTCAACAATTCAAGGAACTATTGTTAGTAAATTTTTTGACGTATACATGTGAGTCTACTCATTTTATGTAGTAACTCTCTAGGCATGCATTACATTTAAGATTTATGTCCAAGTTCGATACATAACAGTAATTCGATGGTCACAATAAATAAAATTAATAAATTACGTCTACAAATTAGGACCAAATAAACTCATTAAAAAAAGCTGAACAATTGCTTGGAAAAACTGAAGAATAGTGACAGAAAAAAACACCACACAAGATACAAGTTGTATACTGGCTGGCTTTAAAAAGTTAGTTTGTTGGGAGAAAAATTGAATTTAAAAGTAGACTTCAGAGCTATTGCACATAGGAGAGGAAAAACCCAGAAAAATTACTACTAAAAAACAGAGAAGAAAAATAAGAGTTCCTACCTGGAAAAATAGGAGATGAAAAAGAAAATTGCAAAAGTGTGCCCATCCAATAAAACCCGATAAAAGGATTGAAAGAATCATGTATAGTAAAAATCAATAAAAGAATTGGAAGAATCATAAAGAAAGTACACTCAATATGGATCATTTAACTCCTATATACACTACCATTTATGTTGTTAGACCATATATGTACCACTCATTCAACCAACCCAACAATCCACCCACACATACCTACTGAATTGCAAATATTAACAGATAAGAATTACAATACAATCTTAAACATGGAGTGAAAAAAGACACTAAAAAATCAATAATTTTCTTTCAAGAAGGTAAATAGAATCAACAATCCATACCTTGAAAAATAATACCATTGTGACTATCAACTCAAAGAACCCTATTGAATAGAAAGAATGTGAAGGAGTTATACTAAAAAAAGATAATCCTGTGTACTAACAATCTCTATAAAAAAATTTGTACATATCTAATAATGCTAGTAATTTGTAAAAACCATGCATTCGAAGAAAACACAATCCAATATAGGACTCATCATCATGCCAGAGTCCTATCTTACTATAACCCCATTAATCACTATCGCAACAATTAAAAGCCATAACTAATCATTATTTGGTAAATTTTCTGAAAACTAATCAATACACAATAGATATAACAAAAAAACAAACAAACTTGGAAAAATAATGAAACCACTCACTCTTTAATATTTTATAACGACCACACACTAATTTCGATATCAAGAAACTTTAGCCATGAAACAAATGAATTGAATTCTAATAAAAAATTGGTCACTCTTCATCTTCTCTTGCTTCTTTTTCTTATTATTAGTTTTCACATTCATAACAACTTGAGCATATGTGACAATATATATGTTTGTTTCTTGCCCTAAGCAACAGGATTACCTACTACTGATGTAACACCACATTTAATGAAAACCTAACGTCTATAATAAACAGAGTAAATTAAAAAATTAGAAGTAGATTCATTCACAAGTTTTACAATGGCTATCAGTTACATAACACAACTCTCTTTCTTTAATTGGACTTGGATCAATTATGGAAGAGATAGACTCTAAACACAATACAGGCGAAGCTACACATCCTTGGACAAAATTTTTACATTTGTTCCCTCTGCAAATTATTTGTACTCCTAACCTACTAATCTATTTATGCACAATTGACAGAAGATTGAAAGTGCAACCTCTAATCCACCACCTTAAACTGGACCATCAATGGCGACAACTAAAGGTTTTCTTGCAGCTAACCAGTGAATGGATCAAAAAAATGGTTATCATGTAAGTGAAACATTAGGAGAAGCTGGAGATAACGGGAAAAATAGTGGTTTACCTTCTAAAGTGTCTGTGACAAATTCTATTGACATACAATGTAGATATAACAGAGAAACTGGATTTAAATCCAATAAAATGAACATGCAACAATTCATACTCTTTCTTCCTCAAATTCCGCTAAAAGACGTCACATTGAATTCTGCTGAGAGCTTTCGGTATGACCCTGCCAGATAAAGCCAGGGTGTTAGCCTCATAACTTTATAGTCATCCATTTCGATTAAAAATGAAAGTACTCTTCAAGTTTACCTATTATGACAATCACTTGCACATCATCCTTTTGCAGAGATTCCTCAATGCTCTGTTTTAAGCTGAGCAGAACTGGAAAGAAAAATATCATGTACTCAGAAAGCTTAGATCACCAAAGGTGGATTGGGGAAGGAGGGGGCGGGGTGCCAGGGGGCTTAAGAAATGAATAATTTGAGTTGGATTTCATATTTAAACTTTACATAAGTGGATAAAAGAACCAGTAAAAAACACTTAATGAGCTTTGAGAATGAGTGATGACTAATACTAAAATTTAGAGACTAACACTAAAAGTATACTGAAAAAACAATATTTAAAGACTTAATTAATAAAATTTAGGGGAAGGGAAAAGTGGTAAACAACAACAAAATACTAATGATCTGAAAAGAAAGCAGATTAATTTTGAAGAAAGAGTATTTTAGTACCTAATGAACTTTGAGAATTAGTAATGACTAATATCACAATAGCATTATTCTGACTAAATTTGTAAAACAATAGCCTTATTCTGCTAAAAAAGTCACTACTCCAAACACAACCACACTAACAACAAAGTTAAACTATTGCAAGAGTCTGGCATAGGCAATAAGACAAACATTCAGTAGTTGCACTTAGTTAACCTCAACAAAGAATGATTTGTTTTTCTCAAGTTCCTCTTCCAGCAACCTGATGAACTCAATGACCATTAACCTATTCTTTTTCTTTTTATGTCTCTGCCAGAATAACTTTATTTAATGCTAGCATTGTGAAGTGAATTTGCATAGATCTTCTTAGCTTTATTCTGTATTGAAGCCATGGATATTCACATGCGGTGCATCCCTAAAAATATAATGGTAACAACAGCAATTAGCAAAACAGGCTTGGTGATGGCTAGCGGACTAACATCAGTTTCACCCAAGTTCTCCGATTGGGTATCTCCCAAACATGAATTTTCCTTTTCCAGCTCCATAGCATCCATAGGCTATGCATTTTCACAAACACTTTGCACGCAATATGAAGATTCTCTACTCTTCTCACCACTACTCAAATGGATGTTCTCGGATATTGAAAATCCAGAAGAATTTTTATCCACAATGAGGTTTTCACTTAGTTTCTGGGTTTCTCTCCATCTTATCCCCACTATTCTCTCTCTCTCTCTCACACACACACAAAAACACCCATCGTTTGCAATACATAATATTATTCCGTGCCTGGGTTTTGTTTATATACATAAAATGTGCAAGACTACAATAAGGAATAGAGGGGGCAGAGAAGATGTGGGGGTGATGTTGAGTAGAAGAGGGCAGGGAAGATGTGGGGGTAGGATGGGTGTGTGTGAGAGAGAGAGAGAGATGAGGCATACCTGGGAGGGGTTAGCAGCAGCTGGGGCGGTGGTGGTGTCGCTGGGGCGGTAGTGGTGTTGCTGGTAAGAAGAAACAGAGGGAGGGAGATAAAGAGAGACAGAGAGAGAGAGGCTGGGGAAAAAAATGGCCTCTGAGGAAGAAGCGATGTCCAGGCGGCAGGTGAAGTGACTGAGTTGATCAAATTTTTGAAAAAAATTGTGCGCGAAAAATGAAGAATTTGGGGCAAAAAATGAGAGATATATTAGGGGCTTTGGATGAATGAATCGATTTGAGCCCGCTGAATATTGAAGTCGCTCTATTTTATATTATAGATACATATATATATATATATATATATGAAATAAATAAATAATCTTATTCTATACATAGATATAGATAGATATGAAATACATAATTTTAATGTTAGTCACACTCTTAAAATTTAAGAGTTATTAATTTTCAAATTTGTTTTAAATTAAATATAATTATTGTGAATATTTGGACAATAAAAATTAAAATTGATTTAATATTGAATAAATTTTCTTGATGGACTTATCATTAAATAAGTCCACAAAAAAGAACCAACCTCCAAATTTTCTTAAAAAATATACAGGTTAGAAAGAATGTTGGGTTCAAACACAACAGCGCAAATTTTTTAAACAAATAATTGGTTATGAGTACCTTTTGTAGAACTTATTTGATTTTAAGTATTATCTTCAAACTTATACTCCATTAAGTCCTCTTTTTCATCAAATAGTTGACAATAAGTATATATTTTAAAACATTTCAAATTCTTTTTGAAATGTATTCCATAATTACTTTTACCATAAATATTGTTTATCATTGTTAGTTTCAATGTGTTCACATATAACAACTTCTAACTTGAAAATTGTGTTAGCATTAAAATTATTATAGTAACATTAAACAGTAATTCGCTCAACAAAAAAATTGTAACATCAAACAATAATATACTCAATAAAAAATTTAATTAAAAATTTAATTATTGCAATAGAGTGACACCATATATGAGTATTTATTATATTGTAGGGGTGTCACTCTATTTCAATGATTAAATTTTTGTTGACCATATTACTGTTTGATGTTATTTTTTTTTTTTGTTGAGCATGTTACTGTTTGATGTTACTATTTTTTTTTTAGTGTGTTACTATTTGATGTTTCTATTTTTTTGTTGAGCGTGTTACTATTTAATATATATATATGAACATAATTTTAATGCTAGCACAATTCTCAATTTAGGAGTTACTAGTTTTTTTAAACAAGTTTTAACTAAATATAATTATTTGGGGTATTTTGGACAATATAGATCAAAATAGACTTATCTTCAAATAAATTTTTTGAGTGTACTTAAACTCAAATAAATTTACAAAAAAAGACCGGCCTCCTATGCCCCTTTTTGAAATACAACAAATATCCCATAACATTTTACATACCAAACCAGGGCTATGTAGGCCCCCAAGATTATTTTAACTTAATCCCCATGACATTTTACATACCACCCAAAGTAGACGGGAAAAAAAATTTAGAATCATATCAAAAATTATTATTTTTAAAAGTCAAGTCACACCAAAAAAAAATTACTACTGTTTATAATATTTTGATCTTTCATATCTTTTAAAGTTATAATTTACATTCCAAAATATTATAACTTCACTTTAAAATAATAATCTTCTGATACAGTAGCTCATTCAATACCGTAATCTTCCTCAGGCCAAAAATGGATCGGAAGATTCTCTATGCAGATCAATTACACCGTAGAGCATGCAGCACCAATTCAAAGTGCCTATTAGAACACGAATTCTTCAAAGAAAATACAAATGGCTACTCAAAAGGAAAAATTAGGATCGAGTTCTATTGAATGAACTTATAATGATTTAAGTCTGTCAAAAAAATTCAATTAGTGATAAATTCATTTTTTATCTTATTAATAAGTATTTAAGTCTATTATTTTTTAAATCCAAAAAATATCCTGAACACTGTTATTATATTCACTTATAGAAATCTTAAAGATCTTGAAAGTAGTTTTAAATTAATTTTTTAAATTAAAAATTATTATTCCTTAATTCACTCTTAATTAAAATTCAAATTTATACTCTCTCTCTCTCTCTCTCTCTCTCTCTCTCTCTCAGATCATCTCATTTAATAACAAATGCAAACCTTCATAATAACAATTACAAACCAAAATGTAACATCCATTTTTTTTTTCAAAGTAACATCAAATTTTTATACACAATACCACAACTTTAACAAAACTCAAGAAGATATATGTTACATAGTAATATCAACGAGATATTTTTTTACACAGTAACATCAATGAAATATTTTTGTCTTCACAGTAACAATAATTTCCCTCGCTTTTCATAAAATACAATCCATAAATTGAGAGCGGTAACACATACTCATCAGTTGAATTATAACACTCATCACCGCTTGTGAATATCAAGACATTGAATATGTAAAAACAAATATTTTTTACCCTCACAGTAACATCAAACTTTTTCCCCCGAGTAACACGATTAACCATTTTTCGATTGTATTACACAACAAAAAATCTAAAAAATTAAAACATATCATTTAATTTAGTAACAATTAAAAGCAATTTTAAAATTAGGAATGCAAAAAACAATTCAAACATTTTGGAATTTTTAATTTTTAGTTTTACTTCACTTCTAAAGGGAAATGATAGCCTGATAAAATTAACAAAAAAGAGACTTCACAATAAATGAATTTCATTGACGGACTTAAATTCAAACTAGTTCATATAAAGGGGTCGGCATTCAAATTTCCATACTCAAAAAGTAAAGGATCTCCTTTGTCTGGCCCAATGGAAAGTTGGAAAATAAACCAAGATTCATAGCTTCTGCCTTGCTTTTTATATTGACCCATGGCAGTACCGTCATTCCAATCATCCAAAATACATAATGTACATCTCCTCTTGCTTACATAAATTACAGCAAGCTTCAAGGAGTCAAATACATGTCTCAAACTAATCTCCAAAAAAGTCAATTTTCACAGCACTACATTTCAATTGATGTCTAAATTCCCCACCTCAAATGCATAGACAGCGTTTCTTCTCATCAAGTTGCCATAGGTAGTAGTGGGAGGGAAAAAAATTATCAGCCAAGTTTGCATCCCAACACATGCCATGCACATAAATATCAGAAGGAAGCGTTACCAACAGCAGAAACGAATCAGATCCAGAGCAGGAAAAGGCTGGTATCTCACTTCTCAGATTTTGGTACAAGCACGAAATAAGCATTCCATATAAATTTCATGCCTTCCAATGTCCCCATGTCAAAATCTACAAGCTCCTGTAATCTATAACAGTGACTTCATCCTCTGGTGCATCAAGGTCTTGATAACTGCACAAATGTAGAATCAGATCAGCAACATCATCAAAGAGGGTAAATCAAAAGAGAACTATTATAGGAATCTATTTTGAAAAATGCAATGATAGGGTGGCTTAGATACATGCACATATGTACATATGGAAAATGTGCATGCAATATATATCTGGTAGTTGTCTCTTTGTAAGTATTGGTACCTAGAATTGTTGCTCATGCATATTAGACTTTATGGTAGGACTAAAGATTAGCTTTCTTTCCTCTAATCATTCAATTCAAACATTTACTTACCAAACAGTTTAGTTGTAGTTCGTTAAAAAGGATACAGTTCTCCCTGGGACGCCCTAAACAGTAGACAAATTCTAATCAAAGCAAATACAAGCTCATCCAAAGTTTTATGTGTTTCTTACTATCTTTACGAGAGTCAAATACTGACCTGGATATCATATGCACTTAATTACCTCTCAATTTGAGGCCATTTGCGTGGTGTCCTTTACACCACCAAGAGCAATTTTCATGCAAAAGGAAAGACGAACCATGGTAAAAGAAAAAAATATAAACTGTAAGCCAGCCAGTACTCTATTTTATGGTACCCTTAACTGTAGGACAGAGTCAATCACTCTTGTAATTAATTTTAGCAGCTTAACTCGAGTAGCAACTTAAAAACAAAAAAAAATGTAAATAAACAATAAAGAAGCCCAAAGAAATTCTCATATGTCAACTCTTTTTGGGTCAAGAGCAAAACTTGCCTTCGTAGACGTCGAGGATCCTGTTGGAAGGCCGGAGGTAAGGCAATTATTGGAGCTGGCCCACTTAACTGGGACCCTGACCGTCCATGTCTACCACTGCCTTCGAACGGAGAAGGTCCACCCTGCTCTCTCAACATCCGCATTGCAACTTCAGGAGGAGCAGGAACAAAAGGCCCCAATGGACTGTGATTATAATCATACAGACGCAGGAATTAGAATACAAAATAAGGTACCAACTGCCGCAACCGCCTCACAAACCAACAATTGGACACACAGAAGTTGCCACAAAGACTGAATCACAAAGCAAACTGAACTTACCCAGCACCAGGAACAGGCATCAGTAAAGGAGGGGGTATATCTGACGCAAAAGGAGTAACATGCATCCCTTGCCCACCAAAAGTGTCAAACATTGGTTCGTCTTGATTGCCTCCAACTGGACCATCATTGCTGGACTGGAAGTCCATTGACTGCTGGTTCTCAGACCTATCATATCTTTCAACACCATTCACTCGATTCTCAAGTTCTCTACGGTTTCCTCGTTCATCTTTTCCTCGGTTATCAGAACCAACCCTGCGCCTCTGTAGCTTCTCCTTCTGCAGAGAGATATGATAAAGATAATTATCCAAAAAGATAATAAAAAGGGTAGTAATATTAATAGGATTAAAGAAAATAAACATAAAACACAAACATGGATCTTTTATTGTACTGCTCGAACATTGCACCTTGAGAAGCAAAGAATGCACATTACATAAGAAATGCTGTGAGTAAATGTCAAAAACTCAAGGAAAAGTATATAAATATACAAAGTGAATGCAATAAATAAAATCATAACCATTGTATCTCCAACCCAATAAACTAATGTTTCATTTTGTGTGGGGGACAAAAAACTGAAGGAAAGGGATATGCGGCAATGACAGAATAGCCAAAAAAGAAAAACCACCTTTCTTTTTCTATTGAGAGACCTTCCCTTTAAAAAGGGCAGGAAAAGGAAGGGTGACTTCCTTCCCCATCTTTTTCTGCCCAATTTCAAGTGAGTAAATTTTGCCAAATCCGAAGGGCAGACACCCCCACACCCCGACAAAAAACGGTTTTCTCTTCCTTTCCTTTACAGTTTCTTTCTTACCAAAAGATGACAACTCCATCCATCCATCTATCCACCCCTTTACCAGAAAATTTTGAGAAATAAATTAAAGAAATAGCAACCAGAAGGGGGAGGTAGCTAAGAATTCAAAGTATATTAGTTCTTGTGAAATTTGTCAATAATAAAACCTACTGAATCTTGAATCAATTTCAGTTTGTCAATTATAAACATCTGGCTAAAAAAATGTATCTCAACTGCAACAATGAGGACAGAGTCACAAATAAAAGGCAAAACAAAGAAGCTGTTTAGAGCTATAAGCTATTAATAAAAACCGACTACACACAGACATGGTATATAGAGGTGACACGACAAGGACTCGACTGCGTGAACAATCCTGAAAAATTAGGAAACGTGTAGTTAGGATACGCTACATTAATTCTGTCCAACTACCAAATTAAATAGTTTCTCATTATGCATATCAACAATCATATAGAATACTATTATACACAAAGTATACCAAGCATATATAATTAATAATATATATATATATAATTAATTATAATATGTCCTCCCCTCTTCCTATGCCCTTTTATTTAATAAACATTTATATGTCAACTGCTTTTGAACATTAATATGATAGGAATTAACAATCATAAATTTTTTCCACCACACAAGATTTATATAAAGTGTCAAAAGTGTCCAAGAAGTATATCGGTCACATTTATTTTTCACTCATAGACATGGCATAAAAATATTCGATATGTCCTGAAAAGGGGTCAGAGGCAAAAGTCTGATATTAAGATTCTTATTACTTAGATTATGGACATGGTCCAAACAGTATTGACATAACACGCATCTATTGGCATGTCCAACACTATCAGCCAACAATGTTGTGCCCACCTTTCCTGTTCAGAATTTTTCTTCTTCTTTTCTTATCTGTGGGATGGTGGGGACCCCTGAGAGATGGGGGAGGGAGGAGGGGAATGTGCTTGTAGGAAATCATAATGTTACTGTTATAATTGGAAGAATCATGATTATAGGGCTCAAAATCCACTCGCAATATTGAAAAATTCTCCAAATATCACTTAGACTCCAAGGGCCAAAATAATAATGTGCATTTCAGTAGCCCAAACATTTCAGAATAGAACCATGTCCATGTAAGAAACCGCACTAGACACAACTCCCAAAAGCTTGGCAAAGGGCAAAACTCAACCCACACTTTTTGTCCTGGTGAAGTGTGAACTACAGAACTAGCAACCCACACTTTCAAGACTTAATATTTTTGTTCATTCAGATGGCTGAAATGCCAAAAACCTGAACACAATATCAACCCATTGAACCATGCCTATTTCTATTTTGTATGGAAACATAACATTACTAACACAAATTGTACAAGAGTAACCTAATTAAAATTGTTCAACAGAATGCAGGACATTAGACATAAATAAAGTGCATAGATAAATCGTACAAACTTATGCACATACATGTACACGTCCTGAAGATAACATAAATATATGCTGGTCAGTCCTTTCCATGCCAGCATCTTTTTCTTTGAGCACTTATTAACATTCCTAAATTGTCTCAAATCCATGCCCTCTCTCCACAAACAGGCAAAATATATGTTTGTTTTATATTTTGAAGATATGCAAATGATGAACAGGCTGCACCTTTGGTATCAGGATAATTGGGTGAGTGGGGCCCTAAGCGAGTGAGGGATCTAGGGGAGCAACCCACCCACCTGGGGGTTGGTTTGGCCCTGCATATTTCAAGTCGTAGTCTACCTCTATCTCTGTATTCATCAGTTGTTATCGTCTCTGTGTCGAGTCCAATTTAGAGTCAGTTCAGTGGATTTCAGCCCAATTTGTGTTGGTTTAGTGGTTTTCATCCTGTTTCAATGTTTTCAATCCAGTTTAGTGTTGGTTCAGTGATTTTTAGCCCAGCCCGAGTGCTGGTTTAGTAGTTTTCATCCCAGTTTTGTGTTTTCAGCCCGGTTTAATAAAAGTTCAGTGGTTTTCAAGCTGGTTTGGTGTTTGTTTAGTGGTTTTCTTCCCGCTTCAATGTCGGTAAGTGTTTCCAGGCTGATTTATTGTCAATTCAATTGTTTTCGAACCAATTTGGCGCCGGTTTAGTGGTTTCCAGACCAATTTAGTGTCAATTCAGGGTATTCAATTCAGAGCCATTTTTGGAGTTATCAGCCTGGTTTAGTTCTAATTTTGGGGTTTTCGGCACGGGCTCAATCCCTTTTTGGCTAATCCAGCTCCGGTTCTACTTTATTTACCATATTTTTGAATGTTGTTGAATTGATTGTTGTATATGGTTCGTTCTGTTCTTGGTAGTATTTGTTTAAGCTGATATTGTTGTCATTCAACTAATGTCTTAGACTTCACATGGAACAACCACTTAGCTTTATTGATCATGAGAATATCGTTGTGGTGTTAGTAAAGAAGTCCATGTATGGACTGAAGCAGTGAGCTTGATTTTATAATCCTTATTATTTACAAGGAGATATTACAATCCCGTTTAAAAAGTTTGGTGACCAACTAGGCAATATTCTTATCAAGCAATTAGTGCGGTTCACCTTTAATAATCTTTATTCTAAGCTAGGCATTTTTTATATCTGTGCTCCAGCTTGAGCGGGAGTGCAAGATTGGTACTTTCCTAATGTTCTGCTTTTCTATTATGTCGCTTTTCAATTATGTTCTACTTTTCGACTATTGTAACTATCTTCAATATCAATCAAAACAAAAATAGGTGATAAGGTATAAGTAATAACATCCATCATCCAATATTGTTCAAAATCTCTTGCTTTCTCTCTCCTTCATCTTTCTTTTCGTAAATCCTAATATACAATTATTCAAGTTTCAACTAGGGCAATAATGCTCACTAACAGAATTATTCACCTCAAGGCGCAAACAATACATCAATGCTAGGGCTGTGGATCAAATCTTGTCATGTCACATCATTTCAGATTTTCTATAGAATACTAGATAAACCTGTCCCAGCCCGTTTAATGCATTATATAGATGTTTTGACACTTGCCCGACTTAGATTAATAGGGTTCTATTCAAGACAACACATAACTTTTGAACCAGAAACCAAGACTAGTATACATTTCTCTCTCAACTAAATCTATCACCCACAGGCCCCCATAATGACCTAAAAATCAACTCGATCCATATATTAGCAAAAGCAAATAGCAAATGCTCTAACTTGAAAAAGATTAATAGAATAGCAAATCAAAAAATATTTTAAAAAAAAAACAAAATATTCATATAGTCCCATTTAAAAGAGTTTGTGGTGTCAAAAATTGGGTTTCCTGCCTGCTCATTATTCATGTTAGTGGGACTTGTAGTGTTCATATTGTTTCAAAACCATTCATTTCTAACCTGCTATGTGTATTTTTCTTATCAAAAACCAAAAATTTTATTAAAAATCAAAAATCAAAAGTCAATACAAGAAGAGCAAGCAATCCCTTAAATTCGATAGACAAAAAGAAATACAATGTAAACCATAGGTCAATCACTGCTCAACTAAGAAGCACGGATACGGACACGGCGATACGGCAAAATTCCAAAATGTAGGATACGGGTACGGCGAGGATACGGCTAATTAAAATAATTATATATATTTTTATATATACAACAACAACATTAATAATAACAAACAAGACATAGCAAACATTACTTAAATTGAACTAGATCAAAATTCAAAAAATATATATAATTTTTAAAATCAGCAGGCAGCAGCACAGATGACCAAAAAAAAAGCTAGCTAGGAAAGCACAACAAAAAAAGAGAAGACAAAAGCACAACAAAAAAGAGAAGACCAGCGGGCAGCAAGCAACACAGTACTGAAAGGCAGCAAGCTAGGAAAACAATTTTCAGTATTTAAAACCTGTTGGCAGCAGCACACTAGCACAGAAAGGCAGCAACACAGATGACTAATACCAAAAAAAAATTCCGAAGGCAGCAAGCAACACAACACCAGACCAAAAAAAAATCCCTAATTTTGAAAACCCTAAAAATTCCCAATCAAATTAACCTAATCAAATTTTTTGAAAGTCCTCACTCCACACAGACCAGAAGATGAAGAGGTAAGAGCAGTAGTAGATCTGAAAAAAAAAAAAAATAGAAGCAAGAAAAAGATCATAGTCGTAGATCGTAGTTACAAAGCGCGATCGCAGTCACAGGTGAGTCGCCCTTCCTCTTCCCTCTCTTTCTTCTTCTCCTCTTCTGGTCCTTTCGAGCTCCTCCTCTTCTCTTCTCTCCTCTCTCTCTCTCTCGAACACACTGAATGTCGATTGGAGTCGGTTCACAAATCAACGACGCTTTAATTTTTTCTTTTTCAAGTCAAAACAACGTAGCTTTGGCCTTTTTTGTTTTTTTTGTTTCGACCGTCCTAAGTTTTTAAAATAACAAAAGTACCTCGCCATATCCCCCAAGTATCCCCCACGTATTCGACCAAAAAAAATGACAGCCCAGCCACTGTTCAGGACACTTCTACAAGTGTCGGACACATATCCAACCGTCGGACATGCGTATCCGTGTCAAACACGTGTCCGACACTGCCACGGCGACCCCCCGACGAGTATCCGTGCTTCCTGCTCAACTATAAAACACGGATACTTCGTTGAGGTCGGCGTATCCGTATTGGATAGGCTACTCATAGATACATATCAGATACACCTTCTACATATCCGATAATAATAAACTATTTGAATACTTTGCATAAACTATTTGAATACTTTGCGGATACTATTGTATTCGAACATGTATAATTTTTGAATTTAATCTTTAAAATCTTCTTTTAAATTCACATATCATACAATAATACATTAACAAAAATTCATACTATTTTGACGACACGTGAATATTTTTCAAGTATTATATGTTAAAAGAACATAAAATGAATCTATTACAATATAACTTA